TTTTTTTTTTTTTTTTTTTTTTTTTTTTTTTTTTTTTTTTTTTTTTTTGTATCTATTTATAATCAATGTTGTAATAATGTAATAAGTAATATAATAAAAATATATATGTACATAATAATAATTTCATAATATAATATTTTTAAAAATGCCCAATAAAACCACTTAATAAAATAAATTTATAAAATAATAAATATACATAATATTTATTCTTCAATTAAAATATAGAAAAAGTAAAATGTATGCTTCTTGTAATATTATATAGATAAGATTTAAAAAATTGAAATATAAATTAAAATACTTTTCTATTGCACTTGTTTATATCCCTTTTTTTTTTTTTTTTTTTTTTTTTTTTTTCTATATTATTAGATCATTGTTTAAATTTAGACATCTCTTATTAAAATTTAACAACAATTTATTTTTATATACATTATTTCTTTTTTCAAAGAATTAATTTTTTAATAATTAATAGAAATAAAATAAATTTTCTTAATATCAACAATAAAAACACATATACACTTATTCTACATTTAATCTCTTTTTTTAAATTTTATATATTAAGGTTCAATAATATTTTAAATTTGCATGTTATAATATATATCAATTTTATAATTAATTAAAGGTGCATAAAAATAAAAATTAAAAAAACAAGAAAAAAAAAAAAGAAAAAGGAAAAATGAAAACAACGATACATTGGTAATAAGTAAAATTAAAACAAATTAATCACATTTAAATAAACAAAACAATAAAAAAAAAAAAGAAAAGAAAAAATACCCATTCACATTAATCTATATAAGCACATATATATAAACATATATATATAAACATATATACATATATATGTATATATATTGAACAAATATTAATTTTTTAAATATAAATAGCAGGAATAATATTTTACTATGTAAAATTAAATATATGAAATCATATATACATGAAGTAAATCAAAGGAAAGTAATATATTTTTATAAGAATTTTAAAAATCAATTAATATATTTTTTTTTTTTTTTTTTTTATTTAAGTAATATATGTATGGTGTATAATTATATATATTTATATATTATAAGAAAATGAAAAATGGAAAATAATGTATTTTCCACTTAATAAAAAAAAAAAAAAAATAGAATTAACAAAAATTAATAAATAGTCATATAAAATTAAATAAAACAAGTTCATAAATTATATTATTAGGAAAAAAATAACTAATAGAAAATTTTACTAATTTTATAAGGACACAATATCTTTGAAAATATTCTAAAATTTTCTATATCTAATATTTTTTTTATTTTAATCAATTAATTTTTTTTTTTTTAATTTTATATATATATATATATATATATATATATATATATTTTTTTTAATTAAATATCTTTACTTTAAACAAAATAAATAGATATATATATTTTTATATAGATGCATTTATTCATGTAATTTTTTTTTTTATGGGAGATAAGTAACAGAATAATATATTACATTAAAATTTTATCAATAGGAAATATCAAAGAAAAAAAATTAAGTTACATATATATATATATAGAGAAAAAACATAAAAATCACAATTATAAAAATATATAAATATATAAATATTATTAATAGTTTTAAAATAAATATTACATATTAATTCATAAATTAAAAGAAAAAATCATTCTTATTTATGTATCTTATAATGTATCATCATATATATATATATATATATGTATACGAATATATATTTATAATATAAAATTCTTTTTATTATAATATCTAATAAAAATATTATTTAGAATATATTATCATACATATAAAAAAACAAGAATTTAGTGAAAATAAAAAAATAAATTCCAAACAATAAAAAGTTTTTTAAATCTCATTTTTTTTTTTTTTTTTCTGTTTTTCCTAAAAAAATTGGTGGATACATTTTAAATAATAAATTATACTCTAAGAATATATATAATATTGAAAATAAAAAAGAAAAAATAAAAAAGAAAAAAGATACATATATAAATAAAAGTATCAATAATTCATAAAAAATATATATTTTTTTTTTAAGCAAAAGCATGTGTAATTAAGTATTTAAATATATAATAATAAAAGTAAATGCAGGAGCTATACGTGCATAAAATTTTTATAAAGATATTATAGAGTTGTAATATATGTATTTTAGTAAATGTATATTTATGTAATATATTTTTGTACTAATATAAATATTATCAATTTAACTAATAAAATAAAAATACATTTTTTTTTTTTTTCTTTTAAACAGATGTGTTAATATTTCTAAATTAAGCATTAATAAAATAAAAATATATGTATTTTCCTTAATCAAAATATTTTATATATAAACTTAAAATTTTATTGTAATTTAAAAAAAAAAAAAAAAAAATAATTAACATATATGAAGAATACATAAGGAAACAAATTAATAATAAAATGGGCTTATTATTATATATATATATATATATATATATGCATACATTAAATAATTAAAAACTATAACTACATATTATATATCTTTAGAAGGTGCTTTATGCCATATATCCCAAATTGAAAATAAAAGAAAATAAATTTATAAAATAATCAAAATAAAAAAAAAAAATTTTCTTTTTTCATAAATGAATTATATTTTTAAAAATATTATTTTTTTTTTTTTTTTAAATTTTATTTTTATAAAAAGCCCATCTTATTATCATCAAAGAACAAGCATATATTATTAAACAATAAAAAGTAGATAATAATAAAAAAAAAAAAAAATAAGAATATTTTAAGATAAATATAAAAACTAATAAATTAATAATAAAATTTTTTTTTTTTTTTTTTTAATAAAATAAAAGATTATAAAATATATTACATTAAAAAAGAATTCAAATAAATAAAAAAAAAATATATATATATATATAATTATACAAAGATGTTCTTCTAAATTT